TAGTGTAATTAGGTGAGTTTTATTTCCATCCTTTTCATCACATTTGTCCATGTAAGTATGTGCATGTGTGTGCCTGTCCTTATATGCCTTTCTGTCATTGTAAGTTGTGTGTGTGTGACTGCATCTTTTTTTGTTGTATGTATGCGTTTTTGTGTGTGTACTTTTTGCTTTGTCAGGTTGTTTGGTAAACTGCTGCTGATGTTCTGAGGCAGTCCCTCACTAAGGGAAATCATCGAGTTCTATATATGGAATGAAGGAAGGGATGGAGGGAAGATGGAAAGAAGGAAAGAATGAATAATAAAAAGGAGAAGAGCGGATGAAAAGAACAGAATTTGACAAGACCAGAAGAAAAGGCTGATGATGAATATGATGGAGAGGAAGGAGGGACTGTAGGCCATGTGTGGTGGCAGACTGTCTTTGTTTAACAATGGCTAACCACAGAGGAAAGGAGGAGGGGAATTGCTGAAGGGAAAGAAAAACCATATTTGTAATCAGTTGATATTACCCAAGAATCTCTGGTCCATGACAACACTGTCACTTTCTATTTTTTATTATTATTATTTTAACCAGAAAAACTAACAATGAGTTTTACTACCTCCATTAATTTAGTAGAGAAAATTACCTTCAGCATTCTGATGGGTGGCATGATAGAACTGATCCTACACCAAAACACAAGGAACTGTCCAGTGCATTTTTCTAGCACCTTTATCTTTGTCATATAAATTGTCCTTATGTCACAAAAAAAACCCAGTAATAATAATAACAATTCCTTTATTAGTCCTGTGTGGAGAAATTTCTCATTGATGGCAGCGCTGCCTGGCCGCCAGGGGCAACTTGGAGCTCAGTGTCTTGCCCAAGGACACATTGGCATGTGGACTGGGGAGGCTGGGAATCAAACCACCAACCTCGAGGTTAGGAGTCGACTGTTCTAGTTCCCGAGATGGAGCCGCCCCAAAAATTTCCTAAATCTGAAGCCAGCAGAGTTTAAATGAGGCCACTTCAGTTGCAACAAGTGCTAAAATGTATGAATGTATTTCATTTAAGTCCCTGGTGAAGATGAATCACCCACATAATGTTAGAGAGCAAAAAAGAGGTTTTATGTGCAAGTAGGGGGATGAGGGAGGGGTGCAGGGCAAAAAATAAATAAAATAAAACTGGGTGAATACATTTGTGATTGATAATACACTAAATAGCAAGTTACCTGCTGGAAAACATCAGCTCCTTCATCATAGTCCACTACTGTGAAGAACAGCTTGTTGGAAAATGCAGATGAGTAACGCCATGAATTTGCTAGGACCTGGTACTCTTCATTCGCCTGCCTATAAGATGCCATTGAGACAAGAGAGGGAGGGAGAGAGAAAAAAAAAACAAGAAAATATAAAACCAAGACATTTCAGCCATATTAAATGTAGGTAAAAAGAGAACAGCAAACACTTGCTTCACCTCAGAAACACATACTCAACCGGGTCAATAATAAGGATTCTATTCAATGTTATTTCTTCAGTGGCAAGTAAAACTGTTTGATAGGACAAATTTCTAAAGTCAGATTTAATGTAAATAAAGAAAGTCACTTTCGGCTTTTCGCGTTTAGGGGTCACTACAGCGAACTGTCACACTGACGACTCGCATGTTGACATTTGGCACGTGTTTTACGCCGGCTGCCCTTCCTGACGCAACCCTGATTCGAACCCGGGCCGCAGTGGCGAGAGCGCTGCGCCTTAACCACTAGCCTACCAGGGACGGCTTCAGATTTAATGTAAATAAATTCTAAAAACATAATGAAAGCTAATTTCACAAGGAACTAAATTTTCATACCCAAAAAGTGAGTTGTTCTGTAAACATCTTCAAGTATGATCAGGAAACACTGTAGAATGTCTTGTCAAGAGATTTACAACTTCAGTAAATACAAAGACATTGTGTTTTCAGGTTGTCTGTCCGTCGGTCCAATTCTTCAATATGTCAAAAATACTTTGAAGGTTTAAAAATGAACTGATTCGATTCTGGTGGTCAAAGATCAAAGGTCACTGTCACCTCACATTCTCATTCTTGTGATCACGATATCTCGGGAATGCCTTATGGGAATTTCTTGGCACAAATGTCCAACTGGACAAAAGGATGAACTGACTAGATATTTTGGTGGTCAAAGGTTGAGGTCAGTGACCTCAGCTCTTTCCCATGCCTGTAAATTTGACCGGTTGGTGGAGGCATACAACTGCAAAGCGGTAATTCTAGGTTAAACATGTAATAATTGCTTCCTTATTCACAAACACCAATTTTTCTATGTACTGTCTTTTAAAATCCTAGAGGAAGGTGATGCAAGTATTGGTAACAGAAAGGAACAAACACTGTGCCAGCCACAGACAGTAGAAAAGTGCTAAAGATGGCGTGTTTACCTTGGCCTCAATTATTTCTGGCTCCTTTTCAGTATGTTTTTATAAATACACTGTTTTTATGACAGCTTTGGTTCTATGTATTTGGTTGTACTTTGTCCTGTTGGTGTGATTTGGATTCTGACAAGTCATGGGTACAGGCACTGCACAAAGTATGAAATGAATGTATTTATTTATAATCGACAAATAGGAGTATGAAAAAGGAGGGTGATATCAGCAGAAAGAACAGCAAGTGACCTCAAAAACCAATAGACAGGGTAGACAGTGACAGTGTCAAAAGACAGGAAATAAGCACTGAGACAAAGTGAAAGAAACTGCATCAGACTCAAAAAAAGTGAGAAAATGGGGAGGACAAAGAAAAGTTGAAGAGAGTAAGAAAAGGAAACTGTACATTAGAGCCTTGGAAATGCCTCCCTTCTATAGTCTATCACCTCATCCTTATGGATTGCAAGGTAAACAGTAAAATGCCAAGAAGCAGTTTCTTTTCTACTGTCTCTCTCCCATGTGTCTGACTTTATGCCTTTCTGCTTCACTTTGGCATTGTAACTTAAGTCAACTGCCTCCTGTGTTGACTTTAATTAGTGGGACGCTGTCTGTCAGGATGCGTTATGTAATGTTACATTGTTATCTTTGTAGCTGACATTAGGATGGATCTTTCCGAAGTTTAAAAAAGTCAGCGCAGATGAAGCAGAAGTTCAGGCTAGCAGGCTGTCAGGGATTACGTTCAACTCTGCTGGAGTTGTCTATGTGTTACTGAGATCTGGCTCTTACTGTGCTGAAACTCCATGTTATTTATTTATTGTTTATTTAGCTTCCGGACAGCTGCCTTAATAATACAATAATATTTTATTGATGGGTTTTAATCAGATCTGAATAATTAAAGATGGATTAAATCAAGTAAAAATGTAAACGGACACAGTGAATCTCCACTCTCCTACCTCCATGACAGTTTTCTGCTAACAGCACTTCTGTTGTTGATCCAGCTTTTCTAAACTGTGATTTCAAAATACGGTTGTAAATTTGTCACAACCAGGCATCCATAGTTGGTTACTGTGAAACAGGACATGTGATGACGTGACATATGATGTGACACACACGCACAAAACTTTCAACCAGTTAATTTTTGTTGTGTCCCATCTTATTGATGTAAGCAATGCAAACCAAAGTCTATTAACAGTATCCATATCTGTCCCACCAGCGCAACATACATTTCCAGCACAACAAAGTCAGGATATTAATCATTTTAAAAAATGTAAAAATGTGATATGCATACATATGTATAACGTTGTGTGTACCAGATGCATCTGCAGTAACACAAGCTAATTATACAGAGGAATGTTTGTCCCCAGTAATATTGATACAGTACTAATGTTCCAGCCAATATCACATCACATTCAATGTTTTACTTGATTTATCCAAATCTGTGCTAAATCTTAGTTAATGTAACTTTAACTTCATGTAATTTTGTACATAATAATTATACATTTTCATTTCTATCATCTTTGTTTATAGTGCTTTTTTACTTCAGCTACAACTAAGCAGACCTACAACTAAGAACAAAAAAAAATTAATCAATGGAGTTTATACTGTAAAAGGGACAAACAACAACTAAAATGAGGGGTCTTACATTGCTGAAAATATATGCAATTACCTTATACTGCATGTGTAATATTATTACTGTGTGAACTAAGCTAGATAAAGCCATGTGCCCAAGCACAATCTGCACCCTGGGCAGTATCAATACAATTTTTAAAGCTCTTACTTTTTTTTTTTTTTTTACATAAATCAGGAGTAAATATTTCCTGGCAAAACCTAAAATCTAAAACCTAAAATGTTTAGCTTTTAGTAACCTGATAAATCATAAGCTGTGATGTATTAAAAATACTGGTCACTGATAGTATGCCTAAAAATAAATGTATCGTGAAGACTGTCATTTTTCTTCACACACAGTACTGTTTCTTGTGTGAAAGCATTACTCTGTTAAAAGTCCAGTTAGAATTGTGGAACTGTGACAAAGCTTAAGAGTAATGCTACAGCGAGGATCCCAGCGATTATTCATCATTTTCACTGACAGTCCTCTTAACACAGACTTTCAGAGAAATATAAACACACTAAAGTAATGTGTATATTGTGCAACTACTCTGATAATACTGCCAGTGTCGGTTCTGCAGGGTTTGAACTAAAATATTTTGTGAATAAAAATGAAAGAAAGAGCATTTTACACACACACACACACACACACACACACTCACAGGTTTCTGAGGGGTGCTGACATGAGTGATGAATAACTTATCTAATCAAGTATCAAGTGACTGTAGTAGACAAGTGGCTGATTAGAGTAACAGGTAAGGTTGGGATGGAGAAGGTCAATGTTGATTAGGGATGTCCCCTAAGCCACCTAGACATGGGTCAACTACCTGGTTTATAATCCACCGACAAAAGGTGCCAGCCAGATTTATCCTACAACACCAAGCAGTCATGAATCCCTCAAGACCAGGCGTTTCCACAAGTTGCATGACAGAAAATATCGTATTTCTTGCATTCAAATAATGAATCTCAGTTCAGCAACTTGACACATATGTACATTTGCCATGGCTTAGCGATGAGCCACAAGGCTGCTTTCTACATTAGTATATTTTTTTGATTCAAGTCTAAAAAACTGAAGCCAGGGGTTAATAAGCAGCTTGAAAGAAAACTATGATTGCTGTGATTTCTAAACATCAGAGCAGCAACTGCCTTTAGTTGGAGCTCTGTTCATTCATAGTTACAAAGTGCTTTGCAGAGGCATACATATGAATGCAAAAGATAAATCAGCAGTACAGATGGAAAAAAAAAACTATCAAAGAATGCAATATTAGCAAAACTAAACCAAATGCTTTATAAAGGATTTCAGCAGCTCAACATGTATGGCTTCCTTTGTCATATTTTTTACTTCAGAATGTGCCAGATGTGTTCAGTGGGTGACAGGTCTGGACTGCAGACAGGCCAGTTTAGCACCTGGACTTTACAATACATGCACAATGTGCTTGGGCTATGCTGTGTGCATCTCCATGCTATCACAGATGCTGGTTTTTGCACTGTGTACTGATCACAAGCCTGATGTTCCCTCTCCTCTTTAGCACAAAGGGTGAAACAATCATGATTTCCAAAATAATTTTCAAATTTTAACTCATCTTCCACTTCACCTAGGTCCATCTTAAATGAACTCAAGCCCAAAGTGCATGGCAGAGCTGTAGTGTTATACCAATATTTGGGATGTGGTGATATTAGAAAACCAATATTCTGCTTATCATGGTTGCACTTACTAATTGAAAGTAGCTTACAGTACCACGGGCAGCTCCACAGATGGCTCTACTATGATTACCAGTGTTGTATGCTGAGCTGTCCATGGTGCTGAATCACTATGATTTTTTTTTTTTTTAGGGGATAAATTTATTTGAGTCAAACTGGAATTACTTTAAATTCTGATCTAAAACTTTGTATAAACCATATGATCTTGGCATGTTATGTTTAATTCTGCATGCAAACATGAATGAATGTGGAGTTTACAGCTAACTACTGACATAAACAAGCTCCACAAGACATTAAGGGGGATATTTACTAAACACTGCAAATGTTTTACTTTAACAACATATTTACCAATACTGATGATATAAATCAAAACAGCCACAATGGTGTTAATTTGACACAGCTGTTTATATAAGGACCTGCTGCCTGTTATTGTGCAGGTGTGGACAGAGAGAAGAAAATGTAAGTTTACAGTGACTGCACTTTAATCTGGTTGAAGAAACCCAAAGGTTTGCTCCCTCACATTTTCTTCTGGCAAGCAATGCGATTTAAAAACATTCTCTCCCTTCTCATACACGTTCTTAATTCAGACGAGGTCTCAGATGAACAAGAGCTTCCACGCTGACAGCAGTGTTGCCAATTCTACACCTGCTTTCTCCTAATGTTATATTTCATTTGTAATCTCTTTTAATGACAGTAAATCAGGCAGTGTGAGTATTTGTATAAATTTCCATTCTCTCCTCCCTTATTTTGCATCTCTGAATGGGAATGTCTTAAAATACAAATTCCAGCGGTGCCGCTTTTCTTCTTTTTCCCCAAGTGCAAAATCTCATTGCAACTCCTTAGTAAATAGGAACACACACAGTTTCACTGTTTACAACCAGAAATGAGCAGCAATCCTTTAGCAAACATCCCCTAAATGTTTTGAGTACAGAAGTGGGTAACCGGTTGGCCTTGTTCTGTAGAATTTTTTTCCATTGCCTTTTGGAAGTATGGCTAGTTGGAGTCCTTTTAATCCAAATGTCAACAGAACCCATAGGTTTTTATGATATAATGCTGTATTCTGCATTTCCCAAGTCTACTCTCTACTCTGTCTACTACTACGATTACTGTCTACTACTGTCCTGCTTTCTAAAGTCTTTTATGAATGTGGGAGAAGGATGCATAAAATATAAGCTGACCTCTAGGACATTTGTGCTTGAGTGTGCATGTTTGTGTGACTGGAGAGCTTACATATGTACACTCAGTGTAGATGAACTTTGGTACCTTGCTGGAGGTCATGCGAGTTATCACAGGCAATAGTGAGGAAGGACAGATGAATGGCTGTTGCTGTAGGAGCTACGAGAGATTGTGGCCCGCGTTAAGTGCATTGGGTGTGTGTGGATGTGCGCTTACCTGCAGACAGAGCACTGCCTTTGAGGCTGCAGGGCAGTGAACATGACAATGACAGAGTAGTTCCTGGGTGGAGCCTTGACAAAGCGGCGGAACTTGTCCCCGTTCATCCTGACGACTGAACGGCGAGAGGACCACTCCATCATCTGCTCAACCTTCTCTGACAGCAAGTTCTAAACAAACAGACAAGAAAAAAGGCAGAGAGGAAAATTCATCCCATTAGGATTTTCAGATTTACACATAAGAGTTAATTCCATTAAATCCAATAATGCTAATGAAAAGCTAATTATAAATAAATGTATTTTAATTCCTTAAAACATTAAAAATTCTCTTCCTAATGTAGAAAAGCCATTTACAGTCAAGTGACAGTACAGACAGTGCAAAAACATTCTGCTACACTTGTATAAAAGAACCCATTTGTTCACTCCCCAGATATCACCCAGCTTCCCCACAGAATTTATCAAGATCCTTGACATTTCTTGTCTGAAAAATAGGCAATGCTTCTTGAAATCTATAATACTCCAAACATTTCATGACCAGGAGGAACCATGTTAGCGTGGCTGCTTTCAAAGTCCAAGGTTGATATATAGGAAGGTGCTGCTGTATGTGAATCTAAATTTTAATAGATTTGACTCCTACCCTGTACTGACTAATGGGATGAAACCCAATACAACAAACCTAACTACTATTTACAGAAAAGGAACCCTGAGTTAGCAGTATAAGTGTATGCGTGTGCTCAAAAAAGCCACCGGTCTTGGTTGTGTTTGTGTGTGAATTCAAGAGTACGCTGTTGATTAATTCCCGTCCAGCTTAGCCAAAAGGTCACAACAGAGTCAGTGTCACAACACAATGCTAAAGATAAATATTAGCCAGCATATACAAACAAACACACACACACACACACACACACACACACCAGCTAGTACTTTTTCAAGGTTTCTAAAGTTGAAATGCCTATAATGACAAAGTCATACAGTGGGGTACGGTAATGATTTGGTGTGGCTGGCTGTGTGTGCACACCAGTGTCTTCGTGTGCTGTATGTGTAAAGGAAATCTTTGTCTCGGTTGAGATAGAGTATGAAGATCCAGACCAAAAACTGGATTCTAAGTTCAGGTACTTTATTAGTGAGAACAGTTCTAAGTAGACATTCAAAGCAAGTGTGCAAATTGACAAAGAACATGCTGTCCAGAGTTATATTTATACCAGATGCTTACATAAAGCCTGCTCACATCAGCACATAAGATACATGTATAAACAACTCTTCAGCTTTGTATAAAAGTAAAAATAGACTCTTATAGTCAGGCAACGCACGCAGGCTATAGCTGGCCGCTAACTGTCAAGAGGTGTCGTGTGTCCTATATGGAGCTGTGCTATGCTTATGGGGGGTTTTTTTCTCACTCTTAGTCTGGTTAGAGACATATAGTATGTACTCTATCATAAACCATAAGACAGCCATCAAATATCATAGATACATAATCAGAAAACACACCTATCAATCTGGATGTCTGCAGCAGGACACCGTACCAAACTTCAGCTCTGAACTCAAGACTGATTAAACATTGAGCCTGCTGGTGAAAGACATGTTTTCCATCCTCTGCTGGTCAAAATGTACTTAAAAAACTGTACAAGAAGCATATTTCAATTTACACCAAAAAGCCTGTGCTGAGGGTTTGTCATGCATTTTTCATTAAAGACTTTTGTCCACCTTCTCTGCCTCTTAATACTTTTTTCTTCTCTTTTCATGGCCAGGTTCTTTAAAACAACTGCCTTATTCTAAATGGGAATGGGTAAAACATGGTATGATACATGATTTTTTTTGACTCGTGCGTGATCACATTATCTACTCATAGTTTACTATTAGTAAAAATATAATTGAGCTTGAGGCAATGGCTCGGTTCTAACTCAGTTCTATCTTGGACAAGGCAAACGGCAACAGCTGAAATTGAATGAATGGAAATAGACTGGTGTGTAATCCTGCTGATCATTGTACACATATCACATTATATTAAAAGCCATCTACAGCAGTGATGACATTAGTAAATGGTAATGTGAATCAGATTAAATGTCAAAACATATCCTTTTTGTATGTTCTTCAAGTTTTAAAATGTGCTTCTTCTTATTTGACTGAATGACCGAATGCTATAAAAATAAGCTATGCTGAGCTCGTTTTATTTTGTAGGAAAAGCATCACAGCTATGCCCATTTAGCCTAATTGTTTAATTCAAATTGTATTATTAAAACGTCCTACCACCTGAGCCAGCCCAGTGTGCTGCCTTTCGCAGCTAGACTCTTCATGCTTCTCACTCTCAGTTGCCAGCCAGCTTAGGGTATGCATGCAAATCTCGTTTGGGCGTAGGGGCTTTTGCTAAAGGTAGCAGGGGTGGTAGGCTTCGTGTGGTTGTTCTTGCCAGTCTGCAATCAGACAAGTTTTAACCTGAGTGGCCTACGATGCTCAGGCCACTCCCTCTTCATCCCTCTGTCTACCCAGTAGTTCGCTAGTGTTGGATCAAGTACACAGTAGCTAAATAATTTAGCACAGAACCTCACTCTGACTGCTAATCAGACACAAACTCTCTCTCTCTACACACACACACACACACAAACCTAGCTGCAGACACGAAGTAGAGAGATGTCGAATAAATTTATCCAGTACGCTGCCTGGAGAGAAGACTGACAAAGACAAACAAAACAGAAAACAGACAGAAAGACAAACAGCAGTATCACGTGTTTCTGCTGCACTGCTTATTCACTACAGACAACACACACTCTGTACTTATAGACTATGTATAATGAGGGAGAATCACTAAGAAACACAGCACAAAGGACTATAACACATACACATGGATGTGCATGTCCAGAGGAAGCACAAAATGCTTTCTGTGCACCTTTTGCTTTTTTGTTTTTTGGCTGTGTGCATTCAGCCCCAAAAGGGGAGCTGTCAGTCCCGGATCCAACCCTGCTGGTAGTAATGAAGCACAACTGTACCACCACCCCCTTTTTTTTTTTAAAGACATGAAGAAGTAGTACTTGCAAGGGAAGTATGAACGATAATAAAGGGTCTTAAAATTGATGAAGATTAAGGCAGCTGGTAAGAGAAACTGTCTCGAAAGATAAGCTTTTATTTGGAAGATCTTAAAATGAACTGTTCTACACAAGCCAGGAACAAAAGGTGATGAACAAATGATGAGATGGAGAAAGACTGAAAACACTAGACACTCTATCATCCACGTAAGGTTGGGATTTAAATTTTACATTACCATGTGTCTCCCCAGGCTTACTGGGTATACAGGACATAATTTCTTTATCATATGCTAACCGTGTGAGAGTATCAGTCTATTTTGTCAGAGGAAAAATGAGTCTACTGTAGTATAATGAGTGCAATATTTAACAAACTAACAGCACAAACATCAGTCATAGGACCTACATCTTTACTTGACTGGTGTCAAATTAAAAAACTATTGGTCAAAATTAATTCTTTGCCGTGGGTATCCTTTATAATCCTTTTCCTCCTCGCCCTGTCTCCTAATTTACAAGTCCACTTGTGCAGTTAAAGGAGAGCGCTCATTAGGCTACAGTGACTGGTACTGTGTTATCTCTGTTTATCATTGTTCTTTGGCCAGTGGCTCACTATGAAAGCCTCTCTTAACAGGTTTTTAATGTAAAAACAAATTGAATCAATACCACCTTCATACTGAGGAAAAAGAATGGCAAGGTTGAACCAGCTCAGACTGATTAATGAGTGTGAGTAGCATTTTTGGCTAAAAACACAACCCAAGGAGTGAACCTGGCACGAGCACATTGTTGCAATGGTGCTGTGGATGTTGGGTATATTTATACATTATGCTGAATTAGCCATTTCTCAATAAAAGTGTTTGGAATTACTGGAAAACAGGAGCAACAGCAAATTACAAAAGCAGACATGAAACTTCTTACTATAATGAAATAAACCGGGGGAATTAAAAATAAAATACTTGGCACTAAACATATCAGACTTAAAGGAAAGACCGGGTTCACTCTTCCACTGAGGAATATATGGCCGCACCTGGGAGCTCACAGTAATCTCTACTGTCTGCATTAAGACAAAAATGGTGCCTGTAAACTACAAAGTAGTTAAAACACTTCTAAGAAGAAATTCATGTGCAGAGGTATTTAAATATATTATGTTAGACCTTCAAGTGACTCCCAGACATCAGTGTTATAGCACTCTACTTTGTCTGACCCACACACAAACATGTACAATACACACACACTCCAAATAGCCTAGGACCATTAAAAACACTTATTTTCCACCCGACTGACCACAAAGAAAACCCAAATGAATCACATCTGCGGTGTGTTTATGTGCGAAGGAGTAAGATGCACAAATGGTGTGTAGATATCCATCCATTTGATTTTCTGTTAGTCTATGAATGTCATGACCTCTCTCGCTCTCTCTCTCACACACACACACATTATCAGTCACACGGTAGGCTGCAAACTGTATCAGTAGCACCGACCTGTGGTCCCCTTAGTTCCCAGTTTTTTCCTCTGTTCTCTTTTCTCATGTCCATTTTTATCTTCACAGTCTTTGCTCCTGTTTTTCTCTACTTCATTATCCTGTTACCTTCTATTTTGCAACTCCATGTTATTTTCACATTTCGTTAAATAAAGTTCCTAAGGAGAATCAGATATTGTGGCTAAATAAAAAAAATTAAGTTGAATAAATATGACATAAATCCACACACTGAGGAAGAAAATACTAAGAGATCTAACAGCTGGAAGAGCAGAAGAACTTCAAGGTGAGGAAAAGAAAATAATAGGAACTGACAGGGAGAGAGGATATAAGCACAGAGGAGAACAGAAATGATGAAGGAGAAAAAGTAAGAGACATGAAATGGATGATGCATGGAGTATAAAGTAAGTCTGACTCATGTACTGATGACCACAACAAAAGGCTATAGGTACATCATAAAATGCTGTTATTAGCCAGCCAGCTATTTAATCATAGAGTTACTCTGCCAGCCCAAAACCAGTCAGACACATGGTCAGTCACTCAGCCATTTGGGTAACCAGTCGGTCAATTATTTATTTAGTTCATCAGCCACATAGTAGAACAATAAGGTCATAAGGTGGTTAGTTATTCAGTTAGTGGAGTTGCTACATCAAATAATGAGTCAGCTGAGTATTTTAAAA